GAATGGGAGCTTGACACGCTAACCACTCGGCTACACTGCTACGAGTACCGTTGAGTCACAGGGCAGTTGCGAAAACAAGGTCAATTAACTTCTATACAACGAAAGGAGACTGCGACCGCACAAAAGGTCATACCAGTTTGGTCTTCATATCTTCGAAAAATATATGTTCATTATTGTCAAGTGGAAAAAGGGAAGCAAAAAGCTATTGCCTGATATAAACGAGTGTAAAGACCCAGGAATAGTTATGTGGTCTACCTATTAATGAAAATATGCTGAATTAGTGGTTGATTAAGTAGATGATTGTCCAATCCATAATATTTAGCTATCACTATGATCGAATCAATGAGGTACAGCCATCTCATCTTGTAGCTCCTTTTAATCTAACTACTCTAATTTTTCTTTTCATAAGTAGATTTCTAGAGGCAACCAATAGATTACATTTATGTGATGTATTCACTCTAATTCGTCTGAGGCATTGATTCTTAAATTGTGCGCCACGGCCTCTTTACAGGTGCCCCGCGAAATATTTTAATAGCTTCAATTTGAGAAAATGTGCATTGATTTGCAGACTCATCCATCGCATTAATTGTTAAATATTAATTTAATGTTAATAAAGTAAAAAGATAATGAAGATGCACGAGTTTTATTTAGTTTTATCTCTTACTTACGAATAGTCATACTTAATTGAAAAAGGGCGCCGCGACTAGGAAAAGTTTGGGAACCACTGGTCTAAGGTGATGAAGGAATGGCAGTGGACTTATCCCAGAAGGAGATGAGTAAAGCTGACGTTTCCAATGAATTGTACATAGAGTGTGAGGTGTGAAATTCAATCGCAATGTTAGCTTACCTAGCTTATTGTGGGAAACTTAAACTATCAGTCTTTCATTACCTTTAGCGAAATGGGGTAAATACATCTCATATAACTCATTTACTGGTAGCCACGAAATCCTACCTGTAAACAAAAAAAGCCAATTTAGTCGATGGTCATAGCAAATATTACTTTGTTTCATCGACGATCACATCAAAGAATATGATATGGGAAAAAGCCTGGCCTTCCATGAAATTCACATCTGCCCTGTGACCCAAAGTCACTCATGGCAATGTGACGGAGTGGTTAACGCGTCGAGCTTACACGCTACACTGTCATGGTCCGACTCCCGCTGGGGGTGTTGGTAAGTGCTATGCGAGGTCGAAACTACAGTCCACCCTGGATGACAACAACTTTTGAGAAAGCAATGCTATGTGAAAATTATTGGAAGCTTCAGCTCTACCTATATGTTCGTTGGAAAATTCAACTACCAGTCCTTCATCACTTTAAATGAAGTTGGGTGAATACATTTCACATAACTGATTTACTAATAGTCTCGGAACCCTCCTTATAAACTAAAAATAATTTAATGATAAACTCCATGAATTATGATTACTTGTGTTTGTGTATTTGGTGCATATTTATTTCTTTGAGTACATTATTTGAACGTTTATTTTATTCTTCTTTTAATTCAACAGGGACAGCTCATAGAAGCACGAAATTGCACAACTGCTCGA